TACATATGACAAAGCCTCTCCTCAGCTGGTCAAACGAAGCCCTATCAGGATCTCTGCCAAGGATGTTCATTTCATCTGGAACCTATTCGACGGGTATGACTGGGCTCACACACGAGATGTCATTAGCGAGGCTGTCCAAAGCGTGGAAGACAGGGCTCTGCAGCTCCAGACTAACCGTGATGGTTTCAACATACACGAAGAAGAACTCGAGGACGAAGAAACGATTGGTGATTTCCTGTTCAATTCGATATATATCGGTATACCTGCCAGCCGCCAACCTGGTGACTTAACACAAGCCATCAATCAAGAGTTGAATAATGACAACGCTACCGAAACCGAGTCGATCGCGACCACTGCCTTTACTGATGCATCAAATCGAACGGCACGACCTCATCAGACTCGGAAAAAACGGCTCCGTCTTAATCGTAGCAAGCACCACAAGATGACGTTCGAGCTACAGGGAATCAATGCGGACATTGTTGTCTATTCTGAAGATGCAGGCGAAACGCAAAGTAGCGTCGATGTACGCGTGAATAGCTTGGATATCTTTGACCACGTGCCGACATCGACTTGGAGAAAGTTTGCAACCTATGACCGGGACACGGGAGAGCGAGAGATGGGCACGAGCATGCTCCATCTGGAGATTCTTAATGTCAAGCCCATGCCTGAGCTAGTTGTATCTGAGAGTGTCCTGCGAGTCACTGTGCTACCCCTGAGGTTGCACGTAGACCAGGATGCACTGGACTTCCTCACGAGATTTTTCGAGTTCAAGGATGAAAAGGTGCCAGTCCATGCCTCGCCTAGCGATATTCCGTTTGTGCAACGAGCCGAGATCAACTCGATTCCAGTCAAACTTGACTTCAAGCCCAAGCGAGTGGACTATGCCGGACTGCGGTCTGGTCGCACGACCGAATTCATGAATTTTATCGTAATGGATGAAGCAAGGCTCGTCTTGCGCCATGTGATCATTTATGGTATCTCAGGGTTCGATCGTCTCGGAAAGACGCTCAATGATATCTGGATGCCGGATGTGAAAAATAACCAACTGCCTGGAGTTCTCGCTGGATTGGCTCCTGTCCGCTCCTTGGTCAACATTGGTAGCGGCTTCAAAGACTTGGTGGAGATTCCCATCCGTGAATATCAGAAGGACGGCCGAGTCTTGAGAAGTATTTCAAAGGGAGCCGCTGCTTTTGCAAAAACGACCGGAACGGAAATTGTCAAGCTGGGGGCGAAGCTTGCTGTTGGTACACAGTACGCCCTTCAAGGGGCGGAGGAGATGCTCACCCAACAAAATCAAGGGACTGGGGGCAACTGGGAAGACGACGATGCTGATCCGGACGACAAGAAGCAAATTTCCCTTTACGCAGACCAACCACCCAGTGTCGTCCAGGGCTTGCGAGGAGGATATCGTTCCTTGGCTAGAGATCTCAATGTGGCCCGAGATGCGATTATTGCAGTTCCAGGTGAGGTGATGCAAAGTCAATCACCAGGTGGTGCAGCCAGAGCAGTTTTGAAGCGGACTCCGACAATCATTTTCAGACCAGCTATGGGTGTCTCGAAAGCTATTGGGCAGACACTCCTGGGCGCGACCAACGCTCTGGATTCGCAACATCAGCGAAGAATAGACGAGGTAAGAACCACCTTTTGGCCAATTTATTTACATGGTTTGATGATTGCTAACATAATTTGACATAGAAATACAAAAAACATTAGGCAGTATAAGCTTGTTATAGACTTGCCACCATTCTCTTGATCCCTTCTTATTTGTCCTTCATTGCCCTTCCCTACTTCGTCCATGATCACCGGCTCTACATATTGGATCATCGGACTTATTTCACTTCTGAACATGGAGGTGTAACAATTGGTTTATTCAACCCCGGCTTTCAAAATTGTCCAGATGAATCAAAAGTCTCATGGAAAACGACGGCTTCGTTATGAGATTCTCGACTTTGTCTTGATCGATCCGAAGAATGATGAATCGAAACGATGAGGAACCCGAGAAGAAAAGAATATAAGGGAGGGTCATACGCTGTGGAGACCAGCAGCAATTTTGAATTGAATATTTAGACCAACATAATCCACCGCAATGCCGGCGAGTTAGACGCCGGCGCAGTCTTTATCACTTGCTTATATCTAGGGAGTTGGCTTTTTGTTTATCTCAATCCTATTTTGCATCATGGAACAAGGTGTTTGGGGGGCAATCTTTCATACAGGGAGGCTTTTTCTGACTTTATTTCTCTTTTGTTCTCTTTTCTCTAGATTGTTACCGATATCAGCCTTAGCGAAGACCGCGTTTTACAGATAGCCATGACTTTCAAATTGAAATTGCAATATTCATTCACAAAACTGTGTAGCTTGTGTAGCCTTTCCCATGTCTATTCTACGTAACGTCATATTCTATCCCCATATGCCTGTGCCCATCCCAATACTCCTCTATACCTAACATATTAAAACCCATCGTTGATCCCCTTTTCTTTCTCAGCGGCTCTGCGCTCCCGGTTTGAGTCCACCCACCAACGGTGCGACTCCTCAGCCCCCGTCCACTCGCCATTCTCATCCACCTCATCCCACGGCTTGGGGCTCAGGATGTAGTGGATGTTCTTGACCTCGTCGTCGCGCCAGATGGCGTCGTGCACGCCCTTCCAGCGGAGTGTCTTGAGGGCGTTGTAGGTGTACGGCAGGGCGACCCAGCGGCCGCGGTACAGCTCGGAGAGGAGGGACTGGTCGGCAAAGTCCATGTCCACGGCGCCGGCCTCCATGTGGGCGAGGATCTGGGCGTACAGGACCTCGGAGGGGTTGACGACCTGGAGGCCGCCGTTCATGAAGCCGAGGGGCCCGACGGCGGGGTCGGCGCCGACGGTCTGGGCTTCGTCCGGGGATTGGTGCTGGGAGGTGAAGGCGCAGTGCTGGGGCACCCAGTCGGCGGGGTAGTGCTTCTTCCCGAGGGGGTTGCAGACGCAGGCGTGGCCGGCGGCGAAGACGCGGGATCCGGTGCGGGAGGGGGCGAGGTCGGGGGGGTCGAGGGGCAGGTCCATGAGCTCGTCCATGTTGCGGAGGACGAGCATGTCGGAGTCGAGCTGGACGACGCGGGAGTACTCGGTCAGGGAGAAGGGGGTGAGCTTGGTCCAGCAGTCGTAGAAGCGCGGGTCGTTTGAGTAGTCGCGGGACTTGGTGGGGAGGAGGTAGGGGACGCGCTGGGAGGGGATGCCGCGGGCGGCGAGGGCGGCGCGGCCCTGCTCGGGGAACTGGTCGGTCGTGAGGGCGACGAGGGGGTACTTGGAGTTGACCTTGCGGAGGGAGTGGTCGAGGGTGAGGAGGCCGGGGAGGTAGGCCAGGTTGGTGATGAGGGTCGTCCAGACTGGAGGTTGAGGGTGAGTATCAAGCAAGCTTCACGGGTGACGTCGACGGCGACTTACCCTTGTCGGAATCGACGGGGCGCTCCGAGGCAGACATTTTGGCTGGTGGTTGAGCTTGGACGTGCTTGACGGCTTGATCCAATGTGTCTGGGCTCGACAATGGCAGCTGGACTGGGATGAATCAGGAGCCTGGATGGAGGCTCCCTTTAACACGCTGCGCTTGGTCTTGGGATGAGATAGCGGGGTACAATGATGCCCCGCCAAGTGGGAAAGAAGCACTAATAAGTGAGTGTTGTGCGTCATCATGTCTAGATGTAATAACCTAATCTACAACTTAGCACGCTGGGAGCTTGAGCCTTGGTTGTTAATTATCCCGTCAAGTGGGCGGCAGGATAACAGGGACTGCAAAGGTGTTTACATCTCAACTTTCTAACAGGCCACAATATTGATAGAAATAGTTGATAATAATGATAATAATAAATCATTGAGTAATTATTAGGCAATATGATCTGCCTACCTAATAACACAATAGGAAGCATTGTAATAGGACTGACTGCCACAATAATTCTGTCGAGGTGACTTTGCAGTCCTTGTTTTTCTGACAGCCACTTGCCTGTGCCATATGATGGGAACATTCTACCATGTTGCTACGTTGTGAATTTAAAACCAACTACACGAGCCATATCTTGTTGGCAATCCTCTTCATACATCAAGAAATCTCCATTTCATTGGCGACCGACACCTCTCACCTGCAGCCATCAACTTCTTTCATTGATCTTCCTCTGCTTCCTATCTATTTCCCTGTGTAGTTGACAACGAACTCGACCCATGTTCCGGAGAGAACCATTTTGACTTCAAACGGCATCTCTTCATCTTCACTATGGAGCAAAATAGCTTCTAGCTAACCGCAGAGATAAAAAAAAGTCACAGGCTAAGGTCGGGTATGACAAGAACATGCATCCCGTGGGTGCAAAATATCAACGTTGCAAGAAGAAATGGAGGAATGAAATGACTCTCCAGTTTCTGAATAGGAAGAAAGAGCAGGATTAGAGTTTACCAGATAGTTGTTGCTCCAAACCTTGGTCGCGGCTTGGCTCCATCATTGGGCGATAATGGGTGAAGATTAAATTCAAGGAAAAGCCGACCTCTGAGACGACAATGAATGTTGCAAACGTATTGTGGGAAATTGAAAGCATATTTGACTCCTAGGGGACGCACAAAGCTCGACGATCTGCTATTGGCAAGGCGTCTGCCACGAACACGATCAATGGATTGGTTAATAAATCAAGGGAGACCATCCCAGGAAATTAAGGCCTCTTCATAACGAAAACAGTCCGTCCGGCAGTCGAGCACTGAGGTGAACTCAACGTGAAAAATCGGGGCCAGCTGGTGGGACAACTCTCGCAATCAAGTCGCCATAAAAATTTGGTTGTTTTCTATTCCAGTGACGGGAAACGTAAAACCGCTGTCCCTTGAAAACTTTTTTCCCGGAACACATGATCTTCTACATTCGTTATGGTTTACGGGGGCTTGAACAGCGCGAGCCTAATCGTGCCCGGCTCGCAGCCACTTTGGTGTACCTATTCATAGACGTAGTGCAAAGTGGTCTTCTCTTTCGCAAACCATGATTTTCTTTCCTCAACAATGCCACATATGATGGACCAAGTTTCAGAATATCTGCATCGGTCTCAGTGGGAAGAGCCAAGAGATCTTCTTCCAGTAGACGAACTGGAGCAGAGATTGGATCTGGTCGAGCGGTTCCAGACGTGGAAGCGTACACAGCTCGCAGCGGAAGCCGAGCCAGATGACGACGAAGCACAAAAGCAGGCCGCGGAGTGGAAACCCAATCGCCTCGCCTACACCGCTTGCATGACTATGCCCCTATCGCTGCTAGTTGAGTACACCAATGATCGCTGGGGCCTTCTCTCCTTGGACCAGGCTCTTCCACAAGCTGTCGAAGCGGTTCGGTCTCGTGAGTAACATCCCCCCCAAGCGACTGAGATAAAACATGGCACGCCGGAGCTCTTTCCCCCCAAGCTAGAGACCTCATTTTCTTATCAAGAATATTAAACACAATAATAGCAAGATAATAAATTCTTCTATATTATTTAGCTTGATATTGGGTTTATTACTTGGTTAATTGTTTCGATATTGTGTCAAAATCCCAAGCTACATGGAGGCTTTGGTGTGCCATATCTTACTTCAGCCACTTGACCTCCCCCCCTCATAATTGAGACCTTCATACTGACAAGGTTCTTTTTTGGACAGTTCTTTTCGCTCCAGAAGAGAAAGGTTCAAAGATAAACAACCCCAGGAAACGCTCAGGAACCCAGCGGCCCGAATTGAAGAAACCAGCAAAGCGTAGAACGGGCTCTCACGAAAGGACAGATGTGGACTCCGGAGCTGATAGTGGTCCTGAAGAGAGCGCCCATTCGGCGCAAGACCCCCCGTACCAAGAGTCCAAGGGTCGAAGTCAAAAGGAAAGAAAGAAGGCACTCCGCTATGATGAGGGTCGATGCAGAATCTCCGGTTCCCCTAATCCAGAAGTTGCTCATCTCATCCCTTTCTCGTTCACCAACAGCGCGAGCAGTACGGACAGGACCATGAAATTCATGCGGGCCTTCGATCTTTTCGGTGCCTCGCTTCGCATTATTTCACTGATCAGCGGTGGTGCAGGACTCGGAGAGACTGATGATCTGATCAATCTGATCTGCCTTGATCGGAACATTCACAGCAATCTTGATAAGGGCTTCCTTGGTATCAAATACCTTGGCAGAGTCGATATCCCGGGCCAGGATACTGCAGAAATCACGCTGCAGGTTATGTGGATGCCGATGGTCAAGGCAGCAGGTTTCTCTCACGACGACCTCATTGACCTGGACAATGAGCGGGATGAAGCCTCGGGGTTTGCCTACACCATCCAATCCAAGGCTGACACAGCTCCCGGCCACAAAGTCTTCAAAGCCCCAGGTTGGCCAATTGTTTCTGGCGACAAATTCACTGTCCGAAGACCCACCAGCGATGCAGCTCTATTTGTAGAGATGGTCAAGCTAAGATGGCACCTGGGACAGCTCGCAGCAATCTCTGGAGCCGCAGGAGACTCCGACTTCATTTTCGGCCATGATGACGAGTTTGAAGAAAAGGTCAGAAACTACGGCAGGGTTCGGAGACAAGTAGACCGGGAGATGGCAGAGGAAGCATTGGAACAGAAGAACAAGATGGCGGCCCAAAGTCCATCAAAAGTCAAGCCGCAGGTTCCAGCGCGGCGTCCCGAACCCCCCCAGCCATCCATGCCCGGGGATCTGGGAGATATTACCAACCTCCCGATCCGTCGCCGACCAGGTTCCCCGAGCAAGGAAAGCTCGCCAACGAAAACCCCTACCAGGTCACTGACTGAGGCAAGAACCCGGCAGCAAACAGCCGCCGGTAGTGATTTTTCAGAACAATCAGTTCAGGTGCGAGGGCGATCCGAGAATACGCCTTCGCGTGAGGATGATGAGGAATAATGGGAGGAGGATGGTCCTGGTGAAAACCAGCGATAGTTGGAGGGGGAAGAGGATGGTCCTGGTGAAGCCCAGCGACAGTTAGAAGGGTAGCAATGACCCTCCATAGAATCGGTAGTAAGCAATTGAAAACTTGGCATGATCAAATGAACGAATCGTAACATTGTAGCTGCAGTCTTCAGGGACTACCTAGCAATTAAGAATGGAACCTAGCCAAGCGACTGACATAAAACATGGCATACCCAGAACCTCCAATATTGAATTTCGACACAGCATCACAACAATCAACCTGCCTAACTAGTAATAAGCACAAAATCAAGTTAAATATCGAAGACTGTTTTCTTTTTCTTCCACTTATTTATTATGTTCAGTATTATTAATAGGCATTAGGTCTCCACCTCACAGAAAAGGCCATGTTTTATTTCAGTCACTTGCCGGCCTCGTTCGCCTGAACCCGGAGCATCGCACATGCGAATAAGATACCGACCTACGTTGCCGTCAACAATCCCGAGATGGCCCGAACCCGTGGCTTCAAGCTTCTCTCCCAGGCCGAACTCCCCATGCCGGCTGGCCCAACAGTTGCTTCCGCTTTGATCCCGCGGATCGAAACTTTCAATCCTTGCAGGAATGTTCCGACTATCCATCACAAGCAACGGCACATGCTGAATTTCCCACTTGTCTCTAGCGTAAAACTTGCCGTCGTCTTGGGGCTCACCTATCGAACATACTTGGGGTGAAGTAAAGGGGCGTCTTGAAAGTAGATGGAATGCAAGCACGGGTAACTGAACTGAGGTTAACTTTATCGAGAGTCCCAAAGACGGAACTCTCGCCTTCAATTGATGGATTTGTTGTCGCATGCGGAAGCTCAAGCTCTACCAGCAAGTTCCACTAGTGACGCCATCCGCAAGAGCAGATCATTCGATACAAGGCCTGCCCCTGGACTGTAGGATAAGTCGATAGCTTTCGAGCCGCGGGGTAGGTTCTCCTCCTGGTATGGACGACTGGCAAGTTCCCCATTGTCGGTTTTACGTGCGCCGACCCAAAGGAGCGGGCGCTGCATGTGATCATCTACTGGAGTACGCGATGATGCCGAACACCGAGCGCCGCGGTATTCCTGTGCTTAGCCATCTGAAGAGCCGAAGCTGTGGAGGGTCTGCAGAAGGAGTGAAGAGAGACGCGAAAACGAAGGAGGATGCTTCTCCGGCTCATTGAACCAATTCCAAATCTCAGTCACCGGGGTCTGCTCAGTCACCAGGGTCTGCTCAGCCACCTCACCAGCCACAGGGGCTGGTTCCCGGCAAACTGGGAGGCTTCGGAGAGTTTGCTGGTAATCTACGCCAGTGCCGTTGCGGTGTCTGAGAATAGAAAACGCAGATCTCAGCTCAGCGCAATGCTCCTCGACCTAGATCCCCGAGGACTCAGGGGCAAAAACAGTGAGGCGGGAAGGCTATGCTTGGGGGTCTCAGGTTCTCGACTCGACTGTCCGTATCTCTGTCACGGCACGCGTGGACGGCCATACCCGCTGCCTTGTAGTCCAGCTCACCAACTTTGTTCACATGACCACTCGTGAAATGATCGGTGTTGGCTAGGTAGGATGCAGCAGCGTGCGGATCCCCAACAGCAGCGGTGACGGACAGTGCACTGGCCACTAGCTGCAGCGTCCCCAGACCCCCCTGAACAGGCCTATCAAAGCGGTGGTGACAGAAAACATGGCACACCAAAGTCACCGACATTGTATTTGGACGATCTATCACAACCACTAAAACACTGAGAAATGAAATTCGAAAGCGATAGATGATATTCCAGTCAATAAATTACCCAATGTTGTGACTATCACGATCTATTAACAAATACGAGGCTCGACTGACGGTCTGACCGCGGGGTGCCTTCGTGTACCAGAGCTTAGATTTTGTCACCTACTCGACCCAGCAGAGCTCAACTGTTGACCCCCACCAGTCTTAGAGCGTCGGCGACGCTAGCCCCATGCCTCAAGGTGTGAATGCTGGGACCTCAGGTTGTAATTAGCACCTACGGACCCCAGAAGAGCTAACAGGCTCGCCGTGCCTCCCCGAGCGACAGGGCCTAGTCACTTCGTACCGTGGGTTGGAGGGTTGCGTCGGCAATGTACCTCCCATGGGCACTGTTCCGACACGGAACCGCCTCTGACCATGGGAAGCGCCCTCCTCTGCAGGTTCCTTGCCTCCTGCACATCTCGTACGAGGAGGCTCCTCTTGATTGACGGCTTAAGTCCAGCCCAGGAAGATTATTTCCCACGACTCTGTGACTTGGATTGCACAGCGCCGATGCATCGCTGACTCGACAGGCGTGCGGTACGGGTGTGTAATACGGAAACATAGTAGGCCCTCTCCCCGGTATTAGATGGCGGTGTTGACCTGGGCTGGGCCTGCCGGGGCTCCCTCCCCACATCCAGCCGTGAAGAGCCAGGGCCAAATCCCAAGCTCAACAAGCCTAGGGACGATCGATCGGGCGAGACGCCGGACTCAGGGCCTCAGAGCTTCTCAACGGAGGCTATCCGTCGCCCTGGTTGCTCGCAACTACGTGGTGGCTCTTCCGTCGGACTGATCCGATGCGTCCGTCTGCCTCACAGTTCTGCATAACGTATGATGTACATGTAGCTATGTGTCAAGCAGCGAGGGTGCCAAATGTTCCCATGCTTTGCGACTTGATGAGCACACCCTTGTTGTGGAAATGATGATCCTTGAGGGCCTGAGGGTAGGCGGGGAGCAAATAATTTGTACTCGATACTTGGCCCAACCCTGAATCTCAGTGTGGCACCGAGCTTCGATACGTAGCGCTCATGCCGCTTTTGCTTAGACTCAACTGTTGAGGAGACCGTTGTAGCTCAACCAATCCTCCACATGGCAGATCAACCATACAGCAGCACTCGCCAGTAACCCCTTTGGCGCACGCCGCTCGCATTCCGCTGCATGTCGCCGGTACATGCCAGACACTCTGCACTCATCGTGCGGTTGCCTCCCCGATCCAGCGCAAAACGTTCCTGCGGCGCGCATCTGTCCCGCGTTTCTGAGGTTCCAAATCTGCATGAGGAGGTTGATAGCTCCCCACTAATAACTGTGTGGCTCCTGTCTATCCTCCCCCCATACATCTACCAGTAGTCCGTGGTATAACTTGCCTTTCCCCCAACCCGACCTTGGTGACTCAAATCATCCTCTCATCCGTCCTGTTGATCTCCTTCCCTCCATTCCCTTAACCGAACGTCACTCCCGCTCAGCGGCCACTTCCACCCGGCACACTGAATCCATTTATACACGCCTTCCCACTAGCGTACTCGGCACTCCCAGAGCTCTGTCTCAACAACTACATACACCAACTAGCACCAGCTACAGCTACAGCTCGCATTCACAATGCCCCGTATTTGCGCCCCCGTCTCCAAGCAGCTCTCGCGCTCGGTCTCCTCCTCAGTCACAGCCGCCGCCCGGACAGCGGGTCACAAGAATGCCGGCGCTGTCCTGATGCCAAAGTACGCCGAGCTCCTGGGCAAGAATGAGCAGAGCGACGTAAGTGACCTGTTTCCCCTCCTCCCACCCACCAAGTCTCGTTCCGCGTGTTACCCCAATCCCGTTCAATACCACGCAATGGCTGGAATATCGAACGAGCACTGCACGCATGAAACTACTAGCTTGTGAATTGGTTTGCAATTGATACTGACCTGCTCAACCAGTCTTCCCGTGGTATCACCACCACCCACCGCCCTACTCCACAGCCATCCATTGCCAACCGCAACAGGCCTCTGATGCAGACCTTATCCCGCTCTGCCTCGGCTTCCTCCTCCAAGCCTGACTCCAACCTGGGCACCACCGTCCTCCCCTCCTGGGACGCCCTCTACTCCAGACCCTCCCAGGAGGACGCCACCCCCATGGTCCCCATCGTACCGGACAACTACGGCGCCGTCAACGTCAACGTCGTCGCCGACGCTCCCACCAGCGGCCCCGAGGTCACCATCGTCGCCGTGGACCCCGACAGGGTCTCGGCCAGCTCCCCCTACTTCGAGGTCACCGGCCTCGACGGCGTCGACCTCAAGTTCGCCCAGCAGCCCGACCCCGCCAAGGACACCCAGGACGACGGCCCCTCCCAGGGCATGGTCACGGACATCTGGAAGGGCATGGTCGACGACATCCTCGGCCGCGGCCAGCAAAAGAACCTTGCGTAAATTCGTCAGATTCATCCTTCTTCTCCCTTTTGTCTGCATCTTGAGGTCCCCCGCCCGAGATGAATGTTTGATGACATCACCCATGGTGGATTGCTACGACTTTGTCAATGCTTGCTTGCCCTTACCCAGAATGGCAGGAATATCAGCCGGTGCAAAGGAAAAAAAAACACTCCTGCGCCGCAGCACCTGGATCTCTTAGCTTGTGAAATTTCCGAGCACAATTGAAGCGTTTCCTGTTTATTTTAATTTTTGAAGGAACAAAAAAATTATTGCGTGTAATACCTATATTCTTCTACATAGTAATATCAATGGCAGATTGTCAACTTCCAATCACTACCCCGGCTTGCCAAAAACCAGAGCTCTCTCTCCCGTCCCCCTTGCTTGCAGGACAACCGTAAAACCTGAGCATTGAAACGTTCTTTAAATCTTGCCATTGCGATGTGTGCTACCTGATTTTCCCAAAAGTCCAAATTGCACAAAACGTAAAAAAAAACTTCTTTTGAACCGAGCTCCTCATGCCCTCATTTGTTCATATGGCGGAGTATCGTCCTTCCCAGCAACGGGCCGCACCGTCTTCTCACCCCCCACGTGGCGTGTCGTGCTGCCAGCTACCTTTCGCACCCAGGACACACCAAGGGGGAGGCTGGCCCTTTCCTCGAATCGCATTCCCTCCCTACCTCTTCTTGACGGAAGGTCGAGGCTTGCACTCGTCGCCGTTAACGGGGTGAAGCATGACCTTGATGGGGTAGGCCTGTGCGTTGTGTTGGTAGCCCTTGCTCCAGTCGTAACTAACGGCGTAGGCGAAGATGCTTCCGTTCTTGTTGAATGTCGTCGCGGTGATGCTGCCGCCGACGTTGGGGTATCCCTTGAGTCGGTGCTTGGCGTCCTTGTCCCAGAAGTGGAAGGTGCCATCTGATCCGGCGGTGCTGAAGGTGCCGTGGACGGGGTGGAAGGAGATGTCGTTTACGGAGAAGACGTTGGTGATGTTGTTCTGGGCGGGATCTCTGTGGCACTTGAAGGAGAAGTTGGAGCTGTGGGTATCAATTGTTAGCAATCAACGTACGCGGCGCAACGACGCTAGAAAAGTTTCCCTCTGGGGTCGGTTACTCACCTTGAATCCTTGTCCTCAACATATTGGATAGCGCAGCGACCCTCGATGCTGCCAATAGCAAAACCGGCGGAGTCGGCGAAGCAGCTGACCACCCTCGTCTGCCACTTGAGGGGGCTCTGGAGCGTCTTGTAGAATGCAGTAGGGTTCTTCAAGTCGATGACGTGGATGTGGCGGTCTGCGGTTCCGACGACGCAGAGATTGTCCTTGACGTCCATGGTATATACGCGCTCATTGCACGTTATCGTGGCGGCAGGAGTCTGCTGTCTCATGTCCCAGTATCTGACGGTCTTGTCCCACGACCCGGAAACAATCATGGGGTTGCCGTTACTCTCGAAGAAGCGAACGGCGCGCACGGGCTGGTCGTGGGTTCCAATAACGGCGTCCTGTTGTGACTGAAGATCGCAGACCTTGACGTTCTTGTCGGCCCCTGCAGAAACGACCTTGGTTCCATCCTAGCGATATGTGTTAGTTTCGATGCAAAAGGCGTCCTCGAGAACCGCTGCGGCCGGCAAGGGATCCTTCGAGTCACAGCCCGAGGGAAGAACCGTTGGGACAGTTTAACATACTTTTGAGAAGTCGCAATTGAGGACAGGTTGGCTGTGCTCGTAAGCGTGACGGCCTTGGCTCTGACCATTCTGGGCAATCTCGTAAATCCGGACCTTGTTGTCCCAACTAGAGACGGCGAGGAAGTCTGGGCCATTTGGGGCGGGAGAGAAAGCGAGGTCAGAGATGCTGTCGGTAGGGGGGTCGCTCAGGGCCACATCGCCCTTGAGGTCGCCCTGCGTTTGCGTCGCGGACGACGCAGCTGTCGATGAGCCAGTGCCGAAAAAGCTGGACATGGTTGTTGGGAGAGCGCAGGCAGCGCGTGGGAACGGTCGACGGCGCTGGGTTTGGGAGAAAGACGTGACAGGTCGGGGGCGCCCGCCTTTTTATGCACCGACTCAGAGGACAAACTTTGTCGAGCAGAGATTGTTGGTTGCGACCTCGATGATGCGTGAGACGAGCAATGGGCGAAACACGGGCAGCGTTGAGGATGCTATCGCCACTTGTCGCGTTGATATCAAATAATTCTAAACTCTGCCTCTGCCTGGCCAAAGGCAGCAGCTGGCTGGAGCTTGGGCCAATCCGCGCTAAGGCAAAAGTCCGGCAAGAACCGACAGCTCTTCCTCCTGCTGCGCATAAAAAAGTACCAAACTCGCCTTGTGCAAAAGTCTCCACCAGACTGCAACCCTCTAGCTTTCCGCTGCATCAACCTCTTCGCTGCGTGCGCAGTAATATTTGATCCGTCAATACAACCTTGTATTATGGCTTGCATAGCCAGTTTCTCACGATCCTTCGATCCATTGCATATGGCCCGAAACTCAAGGACCAGAGGCCGAGGCGTTAGAAACGGACGGCATTGCTGAAATGTTTGCCGAAACCCGGGAATGATAGCACTGCCTGCTGACCCAGCAGCCAATTAGTTGATTTCAGACCGGGATGGAATCGATTCCGACAGCTGAATGCTCGGATGCCTTCCACACCCATGGAACAAACCCACACACGTGGTGATAGGACGTAATTAGGGAGGGATTGTGCAGCGTTTAATATTACATGGTTCCCACTTCATGGGACAACCTTCCTTTTGTCTGTTCCCTTCCAATGCTAACAAGCCCGAGCAGCTTCAACTAGAACTTCCAGACTGGTCTATGCGTCAGATTAGGACTGAACCGCTGCAGGTTTGCTGACGTACAACCCTACACTGTATTTGGCCGTGCGAATGCTACCTACTACATACATAAGGAGCGATCAAGTCTGCCTATTTGCAACTTGGAATTGTAGGACACTGGTCCCCTCCATCACCGGGACGGTAATTGAACCATCATCACATTGCCATGGCGGCGACGTTGGCCATATCACCGGCCATCTCGGCGGCGGCACGCCACAGCGAATATACCTTCCTTGAGTACAGCCCGGAGCAAAAACAACAACAGCGACAACACCAGCAAGATAATGAGCAAATAAACGTCAAGCATGAGGCCTCTTGGAGCTACTGTGGGCCGCTCCTCAACTCGGGCTTGGGAATGCCGGCAACCTTTGACGAGTTTGCTCAGGCAACCTTCACAGGCCCTGTTCTGCCCAAGCTTCTGCCATTTCTTGACTTTGTCAATGCATTTCTCGCCTCAAACGGTCTCCACCACTATTTCCTAACTGTCCGCGCCACCACTCCAACTCATGAATTTGACCACCCAAGATGGCACACGGATGACCTCTTCTTTGCTAATCTAACTGATGGATATCTGCCCGGCAGTCGGCTGGGGGGCAACGGACAAGAGAACCGTGCGGCCGATCCACGTACAGCCGGCACTGACTGGAAGATCTGTACCACGCTTCAGGGTCCGGCCACTCTCTTCATCCCCCACAGGCACCAATCACGAGCCCGTGAGACACAGCGCCGGGCACAGGAAGCCGCCAGCACCAACCACCAATGCCTCTCAATACGCTGTGTGGGGTGTGCTTCTGCCGCGGATCAGGTGAGGGAGGAGCTTGATGCCAAGCTGGCATCATGTGGTGTCGAGACTGCTATGCCTGGGGAGTGCACATTCTTCCGGGTCGGGCGTGACGAGGGAGCCATACACTCAGAACCCGTCATGAGCAATGGGCAGTGCGGGAGGGTGTTTGTCAATGTGGTGCCGGGGACGGAGCAAGAGCTCAGACTGCTCATTGGGAAGTGGGGGATGGAGTTTCCCAGAGAATGGTGGGTCGGAAGTAATCATATCTTGAGGGTTCACAACTCGTAGGCATCAATCCAGGCGTAGGTCTGCGCTGTTCCTTCTGTTGTGTTACCATCCATACATTCATGCCTTACTGTTTTCATTGGCTATCCAAATTTCCCCTCAACGGGTTCGGGTGTTACAGCCCCTCTTTCATGCAAGACCCAATGAACCCAATGAATGGGATTGCGTCCTCGGTATAGGTTGACGCCGGGTTTTGCATTGAACAAAGTGTGATCGACAATGGAAGGTTCATTACGGTCTGGCCAACCTTAAGGCCGTCGACAAATCTCAATAGTTCTCTCATCTACCCGCATATCCTGATTGGCCATAGAAACCCTTGAATCCTGGACATGTTGCAGACGCCCGCTTCCTTCACGGCCCAGACCGCGCTTTGAGGGCAACAACAACCGATAGTAAGGTACATTAAGGCCGAGCTCTAGGTACATATTCTCTTTGCGAGGCATTGTGGCTTGCCGGATGCCTCATTAGCTGCAGATATCTCGTTCAGCGTATGGTAGCACATCACAACTGAGGCAACTCTTGCCTCTCACCCTCCCAGGCGAACTGGTTTGCCTATCCTATTTAGTTGCGACTTGTCCCCCGCCTTCCCATCAGTCTGTCTGACAGTCAACAAGTGTGAGAATTCGAAACTTGGCCAACTTCAACACCCTTTCAGCTTCTTCCGTTTTCAAGACCAAACTAGGTTGACGCCAGGATGGGAAGTGTTCGCTCTCACCTTCCTCTCCTTCTGCCGCCCGTTCTACCACCCGCTCTTCCACCTGTCCTCCCATCCGCTCTTCCACCTATTCTTCCTCTCAGCCGTCCACCGAGCATCCTATCCAATCATTCATTCCATCGTTCCTCTAACCTTCAACCAATCCCTTTGCCTAACCTCGAGCCCAATCATCCATCCCCTCACTTCTCTGAGCTTCCCCCAAATCCTTTTTCCAACCCCGAGCCCAATCGCCCATCCCCTCACTCCTCTGGCCTTCAACCAGATCTTTCATTTAACCGCCAATCCAATCATTCACCTGCTCTCCCTTCCCTAGCACCCAGGCCCGCCTCGTCATCACTGTCACCATCGCGAGAGATAGTCTCCAAAAGGAAGGCTGCTCTCGCTGCTTGTGATCGCTGTAGGAAGCGTAAGATCAAGGTCTGTTTTACCTCTCGGCTTACTGTCCCTGCATCGACACGCATAAAGGCCGAGCACAGCGAACTAATCACCGAGGAAACCAGTGTGACGCAGATCGCCCAGGCTGCGGTTCCTGTGTAACCAACGGCAAACTCTGCAATTATTATACGAAGCCTTCCGAGTCGCGGACGGATGCCCTGAAGAGGAAGCACATCGAGCTGATGGAGAGCCGAGAGTCCGACGCCGCCGTGCTCGAGATGCTCCGGCACTCTAGACCCGAGGACACCCCTCAGCTCGTGGATCGTATTCGCCAAAGCCAAGATTCGCACAGCATTGTGCAGGATATGCGGAACAGCGCACTGCTGCTTCAGCTCTCCGGGGGCCCCTCGGTGGAGGTCCCAGGCAGTTACACCGCTGCTTCCCCCGACGACTCTGCTAATGCTTCCGAGAGTAACTACTATACTTATTGAAGCATATGGTGACGAGTAGATGTCGGAACAGACTGTCTTCGCTCCAAGTAATACTCCCCTCCCTCCTCAGCATAAGCCTCGGAGTTGCAATAAATTAACCTAACTGACCCTTCGCTCTCAGGCTTATGAACATGAAACGTGTGTTTGAAGATGTGCTATTCAACACAGTGCACCCTTCCTGCCGCAACCAGCGCGCGTTTAGTTGGATCCTTTTTGCACTATGTACATCCCGTGGGTCTAATATGCTGACCGATGAGCTGTATGTTCGAACGGCCTTCGGAAATATGTCAAGCAAGGCACCTTGGCCGGATACTGGGATATATTGTACAACTAGGCTTTCCCCTTCATGCCGATCTATGTTGGTTTAGAAGCGCACGAGTCTGATGAATCTTGAACGTCTCTTTTGTCAAATTTATGAATGAGAGTGGCACGGTCATAGCTAGCATCGCGCATTTTGGCGCACAGCACTGCTATAGAAAATAAACTTGGTCTACACCCATAATCAATCATTAGGTATATACTTGAATGAGCAGCTTGGGCATTGTAGTTCACGATGCCACAGTTATGTTTTACGTAATCGGTCTTTGTTCTCATGGCAAAAGAAAAAGAGAAGGTGTATGTAGCAACGGAAATCAATGCAATACATCGGTAGTGACACCAACGAGCCTCAATTGACCTCCATCATGAGAGCCTGGAAGCTGGGTGCTGAATCACGAATTGGTAGCTGGAGCGGTTTAGCTGGCGGGTCAAGCGGGTGGAGGCTGAAGGATGCAGCAAGAGCCGCTGAGTCAGCTGGTGGGGTCTAGCTCATTTCTGTCGTGAATAAAAAAAAAGTTGGCGCGGAAATTTCTAACTCTTCCTCTTCTCTCCTCAGTCAACCCCCCTCGCTCAACAAATCGCTATTCGAAGCTTACAAACAGAGACGCTGTGCAAGCAGCGTCTCGCTTCCTACTTTGCTTTGGGAGAAAGTCCCCGGACGTCTCTTATGGAGCCTGCGGAAACGCGCCGCCATAAAAGCACTGCGGCTGACCTCTGCCTTCCCAGGCTCTCCCCTTGCCATCCTCCTTGCCAACCGCTACACCCGCTCGAGCATGCCTCCCAGCATCCCTGCCGGAGTGCCCTAGACCCCCAATGGATGAAGATATGAGTCCGCGTCGACAGGCACTTCAGCAGTGTGACTGATGGGGTGGAAGCTGGGGTCGGGTGGTTGGTGAACGCCGGTGCCTGCGGGTTTGTATCGGGTGCAGAGGATTTTTGTCATGGTCGATAGGTATGCGATTGCCTAGCCCTTGCGGCTTGGTTACTCGATGGGGCTTATTCTTGAGGCGAGGGGGGCTGTACTCAACATCCTCTCTTTTATTTGGGGTGAGGAAGTTTGGCCTTGCTGTCGCTGAGGTGATGGTTACTTCAAGTGCCGCGGCGGAGGATTTTTTTCCCCTCCACCGCAAACCTTTCTTTTAAACACTCTGGGCTTCGCTGGAAGTCTTTACCCTCCACTTGTTGTTGCTGTTTTCCACTGTTGCAGAAAGGCCAAAAGTTCACGATGATGAAGACATACATTAGAGTCAAGCACTTAGACGGGGAAAAACCTTGTCGATGCCGACTATGTTTACACAGTCTCTGAGAACTTCCAACACCTTGTTTTCCTTTCTTTCAAATTTTCTAGTTTTCCTTTTTGCTATTCATGTCTTATAGCGGCCGAAGTCACGTAAAGTTTATCAAAGTAAACCCGTAAGCTAAACCCCCTTGGATTCCTCAGCCAATGGACACACAAGCCAGGACCAGAGGCTCGAGCTCTAAAATGCTACTCGGTGAAGTGCCCAGGCGGCACAGATCCTGACTTCATATGAGCAAGGATAGGTCGCTAGCTGCGTCGGCAAGCAAACGCCGTGTTATTCCCCCCTCGGTCAGCTATTTTACGGTTCATGCACTCGCACCTCGTGATGGGGTCAAGTGCGGATCATGGTGCAACTTTCCTATTATGAGCTGCGGTCGCGACTTCACAAGCGCTTCGCCTCGAGAACAGGGAGATATCTCAGTGAATGGTAGAGCAGTCCTCAAGACACCAGGCAAGTGTGATAGGCAAAGGTCAAGTAAGCTAGAGCCAATTCCGTGAGCAGGGCGCTTTGACGCTCAGCCAATAACACGAGGGCATCGAGAGCTAGATACATGGCCAATAATTCACCACGGCTTCACGCTACATCATTCGGCAGGGCATTTAAGCTAACTATTAAACTATCGAGCCAAGCATTGTTGCTGCGGATGGATGAAAATCGAGGCGCAGAGCGAAGACTATATCGCAAGCTAAGCGTGCCATTTTTCAACCCGTCTTCTTTTCAGCTTGGGACCGTCCGCCCTATGAGGCTCACCGACCGCTTGTGCGGGTGATTAAAGCCGATCCTCGCGTGAAGGAGGGATGCTTGGCGCTTCCTTGCTTGGCGTAGGTGGTATATTGCACCCTCGCCCACACCAGCTGACATTGATGTTGGCACTGCACCCTGCTCCCCGTTTCCAAGTGGCGTGGCTTTAGTCATTCCATAGCATGTAATTGATATCGAGTTTCTAAATGATCCCTTTCACTAATTATGCTTGTATCAATGCTCTTCGTAAAGATTTTTGCCTTAACGGGTATGGACTCTACCTTATTTCCATATTGATGGCTCAACACTCAAGCCGGTGTGGTAAAGACCGATGGACAGAATACGTCGTATTACGGGAAGAATCTTTGTAGTGGGAGATAACTGATGACCAATGGATCTGTCAGAAGCAGCACATTTGATCGCTAGAAACTTCTAGCCTCTGGCCTGGTCAACCACTCGAGGCCATGGGCATGTTCTTGAATCAGTATATCTGATTGTCTGTTTGGAATTGCTTAGTCCTCGAAGTTGAGCCCTTGATATGGGTGTTGGTAGGTATATAAAATGCCGGCCATTCTATCTCATGTATCTATCGAGATGCAGCATATTCATATTCAAAAGCCAATTCGACAGGCCGATATTGATAACATTGAAAAAGGCAGCATTTAAGCAGCGAGAAGTTTTAAAATCAAGAAATCAACGTATAAAACATAGCATCTATACTCAGATATTCCCATATACGGCACATCGACGGGAAACTGACAGTCTATGAGACCAAGAGATCAGCCTATGCCCGTGGATAGTGGTGAAAGGAAGGCGATTCACTGCATATGCTATACGCATTCGTAACCGATGAGGCCCAAATAGGCGTAACATGTAGCCTGGCACACGGCGCAGCACATATTAAGGGTCGGCTTTTAACTAACTAGGTACTGGCCGAAGGTGAACAGTTCAGTGGTCTACGTTGAGAAGCATTTTCGGGGAAGAATATCGCTTGTATTCAGAGCTGCTGTCGCGGAAAAGAATTACAGAGCAGACCTCATATGTATTGTATGAAGACATGTTGCGGATTGATTCCACACCACATGCTGCTCTCTGTGAACCTCTCAGCCCATTGATATAGGCAAAAGATGCATTTTTATCTATCGGAAGCTTGATTAGTAGGCCAAGAGGCCCGATCTAAACCAAGGCTTGTCCCGTTCCGCCTGTCTTGGGTTGATGCGCCTGAGGAACATGGCGAAGGAGTCCCAGGCCAAACGCAGAGCCAATCCTCCCAACGACTTGATCATTAGCCAGCTCTATCATGCCACCTTCCTTGAACAGCACAGCTTTGGGACACATGTACCTGGTAACGCCATGACTAAATTTCGCAGCATGTGGGAGAGGCTAGTGGCTGTAGTATCAAGCTGTAGGAGTTTCGTTGTGAATGGTATAAACACAATGACGTCAAACCGGCTTCAACAACACTTCGCAGCCTTTTAGAGGCCGGATGCCCACAAGGCCACCGAGATTATCAATCACTCATCAAAGGGAGTGCTTTTATCACGTAGCGCTTCTTTCCAGTCGCGACTCAATGAAGGCCACCAACTAAGTCAACGAAGCATATAACCAGTCATATACTCCGAGGAAGTGGAAGTGTGCAGTTCCCACACTTTTAGGCCCTGGAGAGCGGCAATAATCGCTGGGTAATGCTACTAAATGCCAATGCTAATGCTAATGCGGTAGGGCTCTGGCGCGTACGGCAGTTGCCATCACACATGACACCCGCCGCTTGCTCTATTGATTGGCCTGCCTAGATGAATAGACTGAGAACATTCACGACTGAGACTACCTACTCACCTCATCAATCCGGGCTTTTGTGACCCCCCCCTCCTCTCTTCACCTCTCATCTCCATCGAGGAACATCTCTCGACGTATTTCACCTCACACAGCTGACGAGTCCCCTTTCCCAGCGGGCCAGCTCGGCCTGCAGGTCCCATTTCCATTGGCCGCGCACAGCCAGCCACCTTCATTTCCTTCCGCTGCGGCTGTCGTCGCACGGCAGCCCGCGGTGATTTGGGCATGAGGTGATGAGAGCTGCGGTGATGACGGTGCGAGAGAAGCAACCGCATACGCGCAGGGAGGGTGGGAAGAAAGGTCCCGTCGGAACCCGTCGCCAATTGGCCCGGCGCAGGCCCTGGAATACTCGCAGAATGCTTCTGTTGAGCGTAACCTGCCCTCCATGCTACCCTCCCGATGGCACGGTGGTCTCAGCTTGATCAGCGACACCCAACACCAAAACAAAAGGTCCCCCTGTCTTTAGAGCGGCGCAGACCGGCCTCTCTGCCATGCACCTGGCGGAGAATAGGGCAGTGGGAGCGTAGGTCTACACTGAAGAACAGCCCGAGGTTTTGGGATGCCTTAGCATGGCTTCCAATTTGTCGTTGTCGACTGGCCCCCTCACAGGCTCCTCGGCTGGGTCAGGGCGCCTAAATGGCTTAGTTTTTAGCCTGTCAAGACAATTAGTGTGCTGGGTCAGCCGAAATGTCCGGTCGGGCAGGGACAGGGCCCTCGCATGTATGCACATTGGCTGGAGCTGAGGGTGGGAGAGCCGCCGTGGAGTTGGGTGTGATGGTGGTGCAGTGGGCAGAGGCGGACCTTGCCTAACCCTGGAGACACCCTTATGTACAATGTAGGGGCTGTAGCTCAAGCTCAGGGGACAAGGAGGAGGAGGGGGCAGATAAAACGCAAGCTGTCCGGGGAAGCTCGGCCCCTGTCATGCACACCATCTTCTCTCTGTCGACGCTTCCTACGTAGTACGTGAATGTTGCGGAAACGTTGGGATGCTGGACGCAGAATCGTCCGAGATACGAGCACACATTGTCAGACAGACACGAAGGAGAGGGCAAAAGGACCTGTACGGCTGCTCACAGCCTGGGGAATAGGATGCCCATTGCTCGGTTATAGCCTCCATGGACATGTCTGGGGTGTCGCTAGAGCCAGGCGATCGAATCCAGGACCCCTGTTGGCTGCTTCGGCTGCCGTCACGACCCAACAAAAGCAGAGGTCTAGTGCTGCCAAGCGAAGATACCCTCGCCCTGACTGTGTATGTAACTCGACGGCTTGCCTCACCCGTTGACTATTGGTTTTGCCTGGCTGGGGACTGGGTATGTCATTGACTCAATGGGATTGCATTGACCTGTCGCACCAACCACACCCCCTCCCCTTCCCAATCCGTCTTCACGCAAGAAGAAAGTAGACGAAGAGGATGGGATGGGAGGCAGGATGAGATGTGATCATTCTGCGGCGTGCCTGATTAGCGTGTATCCCACGCCTGGCCAAACAGAGGGAAGCACACACACGCCTCGTGTGTGTCCGACCTGATCGCCCTCGCTAGTAGATATATATTACACCTCGCTCGCCGCCCTGCCTGTCGAGCCAGCCTCTCTCCCATGGGTCCTGTTCAAGGGCATTCAAACATATACATCGGCTATTTCTCAACCATCCCAGCTTTTGTTCCTTATAGGTTTCATATATGCCAAGCCCACGATCCTAACTCCAGGTGACACTAGCGATCTGTACGACTCATTATCGAGGACCAGACCGGACGACACGAGCCATTGCACAGAAAACTTCACCATTGCTCTCCTTCACAACCCATCTCTCTCCCTTTTTCCCAGCTCCAATAATACACCATCCCGTCGCATGGGGAAGGGAACCCATCCAAGCATGAAGTGGACCACGATCCTCCTCGCCGCCACGACCGGCGCGGCCGCCGCCTCGGTCGACGACCTGCTCGCGATCCAGGCCAAGCTCCCCAAGTGCTCAGTCGCCTGCATCGCCAGCGGCGCCAAGGCCCTCGGGTGCAACGTCACCGACTTCGAGTGCCAGTGCGCAAACTACGAGGCCATCAAGGACGAGACGGCGCCCTGCATGGTGTAAGTGGTTCCAACCCGCCCCATTGTTGCGAAAATCTAACCAGGTGGGAAAATAGTAAGGCTGGGTGCAACCTCACTGAAATCACAAGTATGCTTTCTCCCCCCTTCTTTTTCCAATTTTTGCTTGTCTGACTTGGTGTTTAGCCGTCTCTTCGGTGGTCACGGATCTATGCTTCAACCAGCTCAAGACGAACACCACGCCCACGGCGGCCAGTACCAGCGTCAAGTCACTGCAGACTGATACGAAGGGATCCCTCGGTACGCCAAGTTCAGCGCCGCAGTCCTGGCTTGTGAGCGCCGTCATTCTTGCCGGCATCGTCGCCATGTTATAGGTTCCATTCCCCCTTCATCAACTGGGGGGCCGAGGGGACGTGATACGAGGTGAAGAATATTGTAACGAAATAGTAATGACTGGAAAGGGAAAAACAAATATCGCGCGTTTTTGGTTTCTTTGGGAGGAGCGGCGGCGTTGGAATCATAAGCATCATGGGCTGGGATCGATAGTGATGGCAAGGACAATCTTTCGGGGACCATCTGGGGCTGTTTGTTGAAATCTGTATATCCTCTTTCTGTCTAGCGAGCTAGTTCCTCATCTATGATTTCTATCAGGTGTCTCTTTCTTCCGCATTACTACCTTGTGAATATCCAACCACAGCATCCCGGTTAGATACTGTTCCGTCTACCGTCTATTTCCCTCCAGATTGATCTTCCCCATTGCTTAGCCAGGCCAGGCACGGCACAGCGCACCAGTGTTGCCGCCATCGAACAGATCATGTCCGCCTTCCAGCGCATTGAAGTGGGCAGCCAGATCCATACCCTGGCGGCGGTGAGCCTCAGTGCGACGCCAATCCCACTCACCCTCGAACCTCAGGTCAATATCGCTGACGTCGACAGACTCGTCCCCGACGCCATTCTCTCCGCCCTGCCAGCCTCCCGGGCGTTCCGGAAGCATGTTCGAATGCTCTAGGATGAGGGCAGGGTGTACGGTGAGGCGGCCGACCTTGAAGACGTACTTGCTGATGGCAGTGGCGATGATCTTGCGCTCCCAGCCGCCCGCGGCGTCCTGGGCGGACCGGGTCTGCACCTTGCCATACTTGGGGTCGAGCCACTCGGTGGGCTTGGCGGTGCCCTTGGGGACGAAGTGGGTGATGACGAAGAGCCACTTGCGGTCCCAGCAGAGGACGCGGCTCCAGAGCTCGTACGTCTTGTACGGGGCAACCTCCTTCTTGAAGCTGCAGGTGACGGCACCGAGGAGGATGCCCAGGGGGCCCTTCATGGGTGCGCCGGAGGCTGGATCAAGGACCAGCTTGCTCTTGGTGTTGTGGGTGAGGGCGCGCATGGTCGGGCGGAGGAGGTAGGAGACGAGGTGGGTTCGGGAGACGTCCAGGTCGCTGAAGAAGGTCGAGTTGGACTTGTGGAGGTTGTAGTCGATCTCGAGGACGGGAGCCCATGTCTTGGAGATCATGGGCTTGAAGAGCGCCCGAGGCCCGAGCTGCGGCGACTTGCGCAGGATGTGGTGGTGGATAATTGAGTAGAAGACCCGATACTAGGAAGCCATCTGTCAGTATGGCTTGTTCTTTTGCCCTTTTCTTGAAACCGGTGTTACCGGTAGGCGAGATGGCATCATACCGTCCACGCAAAGGGCAGGTTCTTCCAATTGAAGAACATGAACAGGAGCAGCATGATACGCGAGGTGCGTCCAGGTCCGGTGAGGAAGGACTTGATCATGACCTTCCAGTCGAGCTTCCATGCTGCATATCCGGCACCGCCGAGTGTAGCGGGGATGAAGACGGGCGCGATGAGCGCAAAGGCGTCCACCCTGCTCGACGCCGACGCCATTGTGTAAAGGCGGTCGGTTGCGCAATCGGTGATCAGCTAGCCTTCTTCTCCCTCCCGTGGGTCACTGTTCGCCTGATTGACGTCCCGAGGGACAGAAGGATGAGCCCGAGGATGGCGATAATCCACAGCGGGACGTTGCGGGCGAAACAGAGAAGCGTGCTCACGGAACAGATGTTCTGGGAGATGGACATGAGCGAGGGAGGGAGGGATGGCTACTAGATAACAGACGGAGAGATAGATGGATGCTAATTAGAAGGATATGCAGGAGCTGGCAAGTGGAGCCTAGATAGTGATGAATTCGACGCTAGCGATCTAAGGATTCAGCTTTTACAGTGGTACTACAGCCTGGGCCGAGCCAGGGACCAGCTAATAAACGGCAAACCGAGGCAAGATCTGGGCTTGTGAATGGCCAGTGCCTAAAAGGGCAATTGGACGCTGGGGGAGTTCCACCAGCTCCACGATCCATCCCAACATTCTCCTTCTCCTCCTATTACCACCTCAGCCTTGTTGAAGTGAGAAGAAGGCCCCTGTCAATCGCCACGTGAGGATAAGGAAGACAGACTCGATTCCTCTCGCAGCCGAGGTTCAATTCAGCTGGCTGCCTGCATCCGTTACCAAGGGCAATACCAAGGCCGAGCCCACTTGTTGCTTGTGGGAATATGAGACCTAGCAGCCTGGCTTGTTGTACTCAACCCTATGCAATCCAGGAGAATTCGGAAACCCGCCCGGCGCTAGTTCTCCCAAGGCCATCATCAAATAATCTATCCATGAAAGATGGGAAAGCTATTGGCTCCACGTGCGTCTAGCCAAGTCGTGGTTGCCAATTCTCATCTATCAACTTGTCCTAGTATAGCCATTGAGCTGAGTTATGGGCTTTTTTCTATCCCTAACCATTTGAATTCATTTATTTTGGTTTCTATCTCGGGTTAAATCTCAAAAAGGGTATCTGTAAGTGCTGTCACGCGTATACATCTCCTAGCAATCGTTTCCAATGCCATCATCATGAGACAAGCCCCACGAGAAGAACTGTCTCGGTGTTTTATCAGAGTCGTCCTGTACTATATCCCTTTTATATTGAATTTTTCATCGAATCACTTTGGTGCCCTCAGCAGGTTCCAGGACCTTCCAGGTGCACTTGAGGTTCTTGTTCTCGTTGAATTGTCTCAGCTTGTCGACAATCTTACCGGCAATCCCCTCGAAATTGTGTGTGGCAAGTGCCAAAATGGTTGGGCCGGCTCCTGAAAGACACACTCCGAGGAAACCATCGTCGGTCTTAGGGGACATTGATTCCACAATCTCGTTGAGACCGGGGATCAAAGTTTGGCGGTAAGGCTGGTGCACCTTGTCCTGCATGGCCAGGTGAATCAGTTCAGGGTCAGGGGGGGACTGACCCAGAGCAACGGGGAGAAGTGCAATTCGTTGCAAGTTGAAGACCTGGGGAACGCATCAGTAACATGATCAAGAAGCGGAGACGGCCAAGAATCGCTTCCAAGGCTGAGTTTACTCACCACATCAGGTCTAGAATATGACGGAGGGAGAACTTCGCGCGCTTTGTGTGTAGCAACAGTGAAGTCGGGGATAATTGCGATGGCCTTGATTTCCTTGGTCCAGGGGAACTTGATGTGGTGGCCGATGCCGTGAGGTGGATCAGGTGGCCTCTCTCCCGTGTCAACACCACCAGCAGGGGCAGGCAGGACTTCGCTCAGAGGGATCTCTACTCTAGCGACATCCTCAGGCGTAAGGGGCTTCAGGTAAGTGCCGACAAATCCACCAAATAGTGCTGCTCCAACATTGTCTGGGTGACGTTCTGTGGTCCTGTATTAGTATCTCTCTTAACCACCAACAGTCCAGATGCTGGGCCCTATTATCCGGCATATGTTCTTGCTCACCAATCATCAGACAGTAATCGAAAAGTCGGTCTTCGGTCAGGTGGGACAGGCCGCCAACTTCCTTGCCCAGCATCACACCAGCAACGACAGCTGCTCCTGAGCTACCCAGGCCTCGGCCAAGAGGGATAGGGTTCTTGATGTGAACATGGGTCTCGGAGGGGAAGAACCTCTGCTCATGGCACCTCAAGACATAGAGAGCAACACGGGTGATGAGGTTCACTTGGGGATCGAGGTCGATTTCGCCCTCGCCTTCGCCTTCGTATGTGATGCGGCAGTTGAGGGGTTGGTCAGAGGTGGTCTTGGAGCGGTCGATGGTGACATGGAGCTCGAGATAGACAGACAGAGCGAGACCGATGACGTCGAAGCCCGGGCCAATGTTGGCACTGGAGCAGGGGGTCTTGATGATGAAGGACTCCATGGCTTGGCTGCGGGCGAAGCTAGCTCCAAAGTGCTAGAAAAGGAAACCAATCGGTCTGCTCAGTGTCTTGGTGGCCTTGTGTTGCTTGTTGGAAGCAATGGCGCCCGCGAGGGTGTGGGCGTAGACAGGCGTTGAGAGCTGACGAGTGTAGTCAGAGAGCAACGAGGAAAAAGCAGCCGCACTCGAAGATCTTCTCTCCTCGTGCCCCGATGATCGGGATGGAGGGGCAGCACTCAGGAACCCCGCCAGCCCCACCACCAGCGGCCCTCCAGTGCCCAGTGCCCTAAAACGGCCTCTTTCACCCAGTGTCTGCGGGCCGGCCATGGTGCAAGTGGCCACCCGTGCTGCATGCAATTATGCAGCGCAGGCTTTGTTAATGCATCGCTGATAACAACAGCCTGGACGTTGAGAATCCGGTACACGGACTGCCTGCCTTCCGTTCTTTCTACTTCGGGCACTTGCCTACCCGGCGGCTTGATAGGAGACGACGGCCATTGGAACGCTGCAATGCGATGCTCTCTTTGGTTTCAGTTGCGACTCAAATCTGCACCTCTGGTCTTGGTTTCGTCCCAAAAATCATGATTCTTCTGCCTGGAGTCTTGCATGTCTCGCTCGTCATACTTCGGGGCGCTGTCGATGTCTCGGGGCCATATGCAGCCAGTGAGTCCAGCCGGTCCGCTAGCGTTCAGGGAGCAGAGCTACCTGACAGCCTCCTCTCGGCCATGTGCTACCCTTGCACAACACCACGCGCCCGGTTGTGGCTGGGTTTCCGTCGATTCTCTGCAGAATCTCGCTTCAGCTTTCCATAGTATACCATATCTCTCGTGTCATTTCCTCTAACTTCATGCTTCCTTCATTTTCACCGCGGGTGCTCAAAATAGTTCACGTCAAAGGACCCTAGTTTCCACATTAATACGATATGTCCTGGGCTGACAGACTAACTCGGACCTTTCCTATAGGGCCTTTCCTATACCCAAACGCCATCAACGGGTCCACGTAGCAAAGCAAAGTTCATAACCAAAACCATCATGGCAACATTCTCGGCGCAATACAAGACAGTTCCAATGGCGGTGTCAAGTTTCCAGCCTTTGCTGAAGCTTGGCTCTTACTCTTCGTATCACCAGGGTCGCGCTGACCAGGCCAGATGGAATTGCCAATTTATCTGCCAGTGACAGTCCGAAACCCA